GCCAGCAATAGGCGCTCGGAGCCATGGAGCAGAGGTGTCGTACTGGGTGGTTGAGAAAGCAGAGCATAAAACGTTCGGGATGGATCAATCCTTACTTACTACGCTACTACACGCACGATCCTGGGGACAAATGGCGAGCAAGTTTTCTAGGGCCAATCAGGCCCTCCATCTTGGAGTCAGCTTGTACACCCCTCCCCCCCCCCCCGAAGCCATGTTATAGGTCAAATCGTAGACGAATTTCGCCAATGATTGAAAAAGAACTGTTAGCTTGCCCAGAGAAGGATTGATCTATTCCGAATGCCTCATGCTCTGCTTTCTCACCTATAGGAGGGAAGAAATGCATCTCATTGGGAAGGAGAGCTGTTGCAATGATGCACATTATTCACACAATCAATGATTCTGTTTGTGAGGGAGATTTGGGAAAAGACCCACCTTAAAGAAGGGTGTGATGAGCAGTTGGAATCTTCTCGTCACCATTTATCGTCCAGATCATTTTTGGTTTCTCCTTACGGAAGCTGCACAAAATCTGAAACACCCTATAGTTCTAAACTGACTAATAGTGGAAGAAAGGATCAAAATCAAACCTTCTTGAGAGTTAGTCGAAAGCTGGCACCAAATATCAAGTAGCAGAAGAAATTCGCTGTCCCGTTAATTACAACCAGTAAATTCGATAAATCCACAAAATACACAAGAATATTCTAGAATTTTTCCGAAACGAATTACAATAACATTTCATCGAATATTTTGTGAAACTTACGGGATTATTAAGAATTATCTCCATGAAATTGACAAGTAAAGCGGTAAAGTTACAAAATATGAAGAAAAACACCACAAGGATCAGGCTTATGGTATCAGAATCGTCTGTAATATGAGCGAGTGTAGAATTACTGATTTTATGTATGTAATACTGAAAATATTACCGGTTTCGGGGGTTCTTTTGGTGAGCACCGTGAACACGACGCAGATGTTAAGAAGGATCAGCAATGTCAATGGGCCAATGGCCAAGAATGTAGTGTACATGTAGGTGTAGTAGATGGCATAGTAAGCAGGATCTAGCCGAATATCTGTCGGGCAGATCTGTGTTCCAAGGCTGCCGTCATTCGCTATACAGTCAACCTATAACAATAGAAGAAGCTCATTTCATCCACATTTTCCGGACCTTTTACAAGTAATATCCTTTTTATATTCGGAACATAGTTGAGAAGGCATGTACTGTGACACATTGTGGATGTGACTCCTTTTTTCGGCTGCTAGTGAAAACATGACTCGAAATAGATTGAGGCAATAATGCACATTTCTC